TATTATAACAAATAAAACTGGCCCAACAAAACTCCATATAAAACCATTTTTAACAGATAACCAACAACTACAAAAAAAAGTGTAAAAAATAAAAAAAAATTTCACGGTACATAAAAAAAAAGTTAACATAAATACTGTATCAATTATTTATTTTCTGTAACAAAGTATTTTAAAATATTAATTTTGTACATATAAAAAAGCTAATTTATTTAAATTTTAACCATATTGTTATAATACATAAAAGTAATACAAATCAAATCAAATCAAAATCAAATATATATTCTGAATAAAGTTGTTACATCAAGGATATTTACCAAATAGTATTTTGTACTAATATAAAGTAAACACCTGTCAAACTAAATAAAAATAAGACGAAGGTAGTAATAATAATAATTATAATACAAGTAGGAATAATAAAAGTAATGGTAGTGATTATAGTGATAAAAAAAAAAATAGTAGCAAATAAATTATAGAAATAAAATTAAATTCAATCTTGATGTGAATATGATGGGATTTTAAAGGAAAAGAAAAGGAAAGAATTGCACGTTAAATTTTATAATAAAAATTCACAAAAACATCGATATCTTAAAAGTAAAACATCGCTTAAAAAAAAGAAACAAAGTTATTACAAAATTTATGTAAACAAAAAGTTTATAATCCATTAATGAACTATTTTGAATGAGTTAAATTTTTTTTTAATGAATTACCATTTTTTTAGAATTTTATTACCATTTTTTTAGAAACAATAACGTTTCTGTGAAAATTTTTGAAAAATAATAAAATAATTCGAGTTTATGATTAGTAGAAAAAATGTTGACTTTAAAACACCATAATGTCTGAAGCAAAATAAAATTGTTTTTGCTTAAAATTTTTAGAAAATTTATTTTTAGAAGTAAAAGTTTAAAAATAATCAAAAAATGAATGCGGGAAAAAAACAACAGAAAATCATTTCTTTTAAAAGGAAATCAGAATCTAAAATACCCGCTAAGAACAAAGTAAAAGTTTTCGAAAGAAAGTTACAATTATAAACAGCTAATAAGTGGAAAGTTTAATTCAAGTTAGTTTGCAAGGAAATGATTCTAATGTATTTGATTTAAGTCCTGCTATAAAGTTATGGACGAATGACTGTGAGTCTTTCTATGATTTTTTTAATGATGATCCTTTGTTTTCTTCTTATGTACCTTATTGTATTCCACGCCAAGCCTTACTTTTCTCCATTGTTTTTCTCTCATTGTGCTGTTGCAATTTTCAATCATAATCATTACTTTCATACCTAGCAAAACATTTCTTCTATCAGCAAAAAAATTCTCCAGAAAACAGACATCTGTACTATTGCTAGAAACCATTGTAAAAAGATTTTGTCTAACGCTATTCTCAGGTCACTAAACTTTGTAATTCACCTCAAAAATTAGGCTCTCGCAACTTTTGGAGAATCTTTAATGTGTCTATATTAAGAGCAAATCTGTTAATCCACCTCTCTAGTACGTTAATTAACAAACACTTAATCTCTCATCTTGAATCTAATAACTTACTTTCTGATCATCAATATGGATTTTGATTTTCTTTTTCTGCAGTTGATTTGCTAACAGTGATAAAGAATAGGTTTTATTATGAATTAGATAGGAGAGAGGCGGAGAGGTTAAGGCTACTGCTCTTGACATTTCTAGAACTTTTGATCAAGTTTGGCAAGCTTGTCTTCTCCATCTCTATAAAAAATCAGCTTTTTTTTTACGGGTGTATCATATATCATCTTCAAGATTTATCTTTCCTTACCAATTGTAGTATAAAAGTCATTGATTGTTCTCCTCTTCAAATTCTTTAATTTTAGGGGTTCCTCAAGGTTCTATCCTTGGCCCTATACTTTTTTAAATTTACATTAATGATCTCTCAGATGTTCTCACATCTAAGGTGGCATTGTATGCTGATGATACGACCATTTATTCTTGTGTTGATAAGAAGTCAACACTCTCTGATTGCTTGGAGAGGGCATTTAAACTGGAAAAGGATCTCACTTCTGCTACAGCATGGGGCTCTCAGTGGCTGGTGAACTTTAATTTGGATAAAACTCAAATTGTTTCAGCTAGTTGTTATCACAATAATCTAGATCTTCCTATATTTATGAATAGTAATGTACTTGATGAGTCATCTACCCTTTATGTTCTAGAATTAACTCTTACTTCTAATCTTTCTTCAAAACAATATATCAAATCAATTGCAAAATTAGCATCTGTTGAGGTTGTATCATGCTCAACATTTCTTACTATGGATTCTATTCTTTGTCTCTATAAATCTCAAATACTGTTGTTATATCTAGGGTGGATCTTCCAATGATGCATTTCTTTTTTAGACAAGGTGCAAAGTTGCATTATAAACATAGTTGAATCTGTTCTTGCAGCCAACCTGCAACTATTATCACATCATTGTAATGTTGCTTCTATACATCTTTTCTATAAATACTATGATGGGCACTGTTCTAAAGAGTTAGCATCTCTAGCGCTATCATATAAAATTCATTCTATTTGTAATTCAATTAAGTCGCATATTTTTACTGTGACTGTTCCTAAGTGCTCCAAAAATTTAGTTTCCTTCCTCACACATCAGTTCTTTAGAATTCGCTTCCTTCATTTTGTTTTCCTGATTCATACAATTTGCAATCTTTTAAGTTTGTTAATCATTATCTTAAGCTCTATAAACATCTTTTCTCTTCAAGCAACTCTTAACTCTAATAGTGGTTGCTTGCAGTCTTGTTGGAAATAAAGATAATAATAATAATAAAAAAAAAAGTTTAGTATCTTTAATACTAAATCAATCAACAACATAAAATATTGGCCATTAATAACAATCCATCATGTTATTTTACTATGAATATAAGTTTGCAATTAAAAAATTTATAAGCTAAGTTTTTTTTATTGAAATAAATCAAATAATCACAATATATATTTATTACAAAATAATAAAAATTTAAAAAAATTAAAAGGTCAAATATTGAAATTAAAGTGTTCATTTCTATCAAAAAAAAAATAAAAAAATAAAAATAAAATAAAAAATAATATTTAGTTGACAACCCTTTTGCTTTTAAGCATTCAATGATATCTTTTGTTATGAAGTTCACTAAATTCTGACTAATCTCATTTGGAACACTATTCAGTTATTTTGTTACTAATTTCTTCAGCTGATCATTTGGAACACTATTCAGTTATTTTGTTAATAATTTCTTCAGATCTTTAATTTCAATTTTATCAAGATTGTGGTTTAACCAAGACCACAAATTCTCTATGTAATCTGGACTATTGGCAGGCCAAGATATGGTTTTAATGTTGTATATTACAATTTTTAAACCACTTTAATTAGTTATAGAAAACTGTTAAATACAATCATGCTGTCGATAAAACATGTGTTATTTTTAAAGAGTATTGAATTATTATTGTAAAGAACTATAAAACAATAATAAAACAAACTACAAAGTTGTACAATATAAAGAATTTGTATTAATGTTGAACAAATTAGTGACACTGTTTTATACAGTGTTATAGAATTAATAACATAAAACGCATTTAAAGTAAAACAAAGTAAATAAATAGAATTGATTTAATTATAAAATTAAATTTCACATCCACTTTCACATTTCAAATGTTTGAATTGTGAAAGTGGATACCAAAAAATCATTAAAACATTAGATTTTTTATAATTTATTGTTTCTTGATCTAGCCTACTATTAAAAGTTTAAGTATAATTAATTTTTTTATTCAAATGTATTTTTAAGTTCATGCTTTTATTCAATTTTTTCATTCAAATTGTTTTTAAGTTGATGTTTTCATTCAATATGTTCATTCAAATGATTTGTAAGTTCAGTACCACAATAGCAATCTGGAGAAATAGAAAACAACATACAAAATTATTAATTCAAAAATATGGCACAGCAAAAAACAATTCTATAGTGGCCTCACTAAAAAAATCAGCACCTGGTGGAACAAAATAAATAAAACTAAAAATGCCTCGAAAAACCAATCCATCAATAAAGATTTAGCAAAGCAATTAAACGAAGGTTTTTACAGTGTCTGAAATGGTTCAAAGCAGCCAGATATATCTCCCTTTATAACAAATTTAAACCACCAAAACATACCCCTACTCTTTACTATAGGCATTGTTTCAAATTTTTTTTAAAACTTAAAACAAGGGTCACCTGGACCCGACTACACCTTTTCAAGATGTAATTGAGAAAACAAAAATTGTAATAAAGAATCGTAAGATGTAATTGAGAAAACAAAAGTTGTAATTAAGAAACGTAAGATGCAATTGAGAAAACGTAAGTTGTAATTAAGAAACATAAGATGTAATTTAGAAAACGAAAATTGTAATTAAGAATCGTAACATGTAATTGAGAAAATGTAAGTTGTAGATAAGAAATAGAAAGATGTAATTGAGAACACGAAAATTTTAATTTAGATATCGCTTTAAAGGAGTAAGTGTAAAATGGCGCTTAAAAAAAATGGAGCGTATAAAATGACGCACTTAAAAATGACGCAAGATTTGTAGCGTAAATTTAATTTTTTAGGGAAAAATTTATAATTTTTGGGCAAATGAATTTAACATAATAAACACTAAAAACATTTCAGGGAAAAATTTATAATTCAATTAAAAATTATAATTAAAAATTATATAATTAAAAATCACTACATTGATCATTTAAGCACCAACTTGTACGTCTTCCATATTTAAAATAGTTGCATAGTGCGTGGTTGTGTGTTGTACCGCACGTGCACAATCTCCTCCCATTATAGTATTTTTCGCCTCAATTACAATTCGTTCTAAGTACTGCATGCGCTGTTCCGCAATCCCGTCACCTAATACAGGTGGAATGCGAATTGCATTTTTAACGTTACTTTTAATTTTGGACCAGATCGTTTCCACTGGGTTCAACATTGGACTGTATGGTCCCAAACGTAACAACTGAGCTGGTGAATTATTAAACACCCTTTGCAAACGAGCGTGACAAGGAGCATTATCTGTTACAACGACCAAATCCTCCAAACGATTCCCGGATGTAACCCACTGGTGAAACATAGC